TTTCAAAACGATTCAATAAATCCTACAATAACGCGCATTGCATACATTTGAGCGATGATAAAGGGGCCATTATGTTTTCTTTCATTTTGGTCAACGTCCGACTGCGTCGGTAAGAGAAGACTAACGTAACGTGTAAGCGTAACGTCGATTCTAATTCTTATTAGATATTTGCAATACTATGGGGACATTATTCATAGAGATATGTGACGTACTAGAATAAAATGGAGATGATAAAAATAATATCTATCGGAACAAACTACACACTGAGAGAAAGTATTGTCCGAGCACACCGCGGACCTACCCTGTCTGGTTTTATTCGTCTTGGATTTCACCCCGTTCGAGACGAAAACGAACAGTCGATTGGGTGGGTACAAATTGACCACAAGCTTGAAAATATTACGCACACTCTGTCGCACAGCATCTTTCGAGTCGCCAGCTTTCATGACCAAATAGGGAAGTAGAGCGGTGGCTTCATGTTCACTCAATGCGGTACCCGAATCACTCATCCGGGAGAACAGTTTGATCAAATAGTCCATACCTGAAAAAAACATCCGCGAGATTTGTGCAGTTCAGACAGCAGGTTCCAAATGTGATGAGACTAGTACATACATCGAGTGTAGAACACAAGGGGGGAAAACACGATGCATCAAATCGAACACAACACTATTCAAGTCATAAGCAATTATCAATTTTTTATTTACCACGATACACAACCTTATGCTCCGTAAAAACATATTTCGATGGATGATGGTGTACTAACAGAGGCTATGTTGTATACAGGCTGCTTTCAACTTCAAGGCGGTGCGCGGAACGAACCGAATGTCTGTTTGAAAACCTGTTGGGACATCCACGGCGACCGGGCTCTGTGAGGAACTTAATCCACCACCTATTGTTCTACCGAAACCAAACAGAAAGGTCAAAAAATTACTCAAAATGGCATGCTACGAAAACAGGCACAGAAAAATTGCGATTTTGTTTTATTGCACACGTTCCTACGTGCTCAACCCCAAAACTACAAACGATTGCTTCTCTTTTTAAACGCCTCATCCACGATTTGATTCTGAAACACGAAGGTCAACTGAATCTCATCGAGTTAGTTAGCTGTTTTTGACGCACACCTAGAATGCATGTTTCAAATAAATGATGAGTGGTCAAATTATGATCGATAAGGTTCTGCGAGGCTGTGAATCAGCTTGTGTGTAATTAACGCACAAAGCGTTATAGACAGACCACATTCCTAACAGCCGAAACCAATCCGTCTTAGTTGACGAGTCATTCTCGAAAATAGATGGAGAAACGTTTTGAAAACTAGTGGTTCAATGTACAACAGTCAGAAACTCCTGTGCACACAAGTTGGACTACGCAAATGGAATATCATCGAGTTTAATACTATTATGTTCAGTACTATTTGCCCCATTTCGTCGAGGAAACTATTTGTTTGTATTCTTAGATAGGAAAATCAGGAAGCGATCTGACGATACATTGCAACGATCTGTCTACCGAAACAACACGTGGAGTGCACCATACTAATAATTTGGTAGTTTCGCTCCTGTGGTATACTGAAAAGGTCTGTTGAAGACTGCGTCATCGTGGCAGAAAGATTTTCTCTCCTGGCAGGCTTCAAGAAGAGGCTTTTCTACGAAGAACGCTACTGGATAAGGGTTATCCAGGGTTACTGATTTGCACAAGAGACGAAGGTCACGGGTTAATCCCAACTGCGAAGTACCGCAGAAATGCATCTTTCTCAGATTGGCCTTCAAGAGTGATCATCTAATGACCGACGTACGTCAGAAGCTCAAGGTGGCATTGTGTCACACATTTTCGGCTGCATAGCTCCGACTGATACCACACACCCATTGAACTCGTATGAACAACCGAAAACAGAGCCAGACGCTCAATTCTGCTTAAAATGATATATATATATAT